GACATAAATGAACATTTGCACGATATTCTAATTTTTCGAGTTTCACCTGTACATGCATACACATATAAACACAGATATAAAAAGGTGACGTGTTCACTGTTATTGGGTGGAAGTGTGGAATATCCAAGATTTATTTCAGCTAGAATTTGTAAACCTAGATTACTTAGGTGGGGAAGCTGGGTACTCCACAAGATTCCCCCCCCCCTTCTTTTTTGAGGATATTATTTTAAATTCAAGACTATCTTCCTTTCAGGAAGTATGATGTGTGTAGACATGCATAACATCCATTCCTTCTCTGTCTGTAACTGTTTTCATTAAACCACTGGAAAATCCCAGCTTGTAATTTAATTGATGATGGGACATATATTCAAATTTGTAAACAATAAAATATTTAGAAACACCTTCCTCATTTATAGTGACTAGAAGTGTATCTCCTGTTTTAAGTTTTTTTTATTTTCATACCTTAAATTTCTCCTAAACTTACAATTAAATCACTCAGCAATGTCACACAACTGGCCCAGATGATGAAATGGAGTCACCATTAAAAGCTGTTTAATATTGACACATTCACTTTTTCCAAACAATTGAAAAATACCAAACATTATATTGCTAGATTTAGTGCTGGCACTTTGATGAAAGCTTCTTTTACTTGTTCTGAGATATCGGTTCCAAGGGGAGCTCTAAATGATAATATTAAAAAGTTCAATACATTATAATTAAACATGTAACAGAAATGCATGTATAATTAATTAGATATTACAAATATATGTGTGTTGCATCTCTAAGACCCTTCTGCATATAATGAAAATTACTATAAAGTCAGTAATTTCTATAATTCAAACTTCACTTCCATAAACCATATTCAAAACAATACACCTATCCCAAACTACTTGTTCCAAAGAGAAGGAATGTAGATTCAATTTTGTTTCAGGTAAAACCTCTCTTACTTTACCTTACTTTTTTCACAGACACACCTTTTTTATATACTGTAAATATGTGATCCAATATTTAATCCTGAATAATTATAGTTTTAAATCATAGTTGGAAAAGAAAGCTGTTGGACTGGTTTCCATTGCATCAGGCCTAACCTTAAACAAGGTTGTATTTTGAGATAACAGTGCATCAGTGAAAAATCATATCTAAAGGCTGAATGCTGAGAAAAGAATATTGATAAACTACCAATGTAAAGCTCAGATCCTCATGAAAACAAATACAGATTTACTATTTTTGGAACTAATTTATATAATTCTAACAACAGAAACTTGTAAAACATCATAACCTTTTTATGTACTTTAAAATAATATACAAATGTCCAATATTTATTATTATTAATCTTGTGCATTCTCTACCCAGAAACTTTTAAAGGGAGGAATTTCATGCAGTATACAATTTAAAAGAAGGCTGTAACCCTATTATGGTGCTAGATAATATATAAAAAAGACTAGGATGAACAAGATTGAAGAAATATCATTAATTCATTAATACTTAAAACTACAATATTTCTGCTTCTATAATATTCATGCTAAATTTGGGATCCTTCAACCCTGATTCAAGCATCAACCAAAGAACTTTCAAAAACTCAATTTACGATTTATGCAAATGCCTCCCTGCTATTCAACGTACCAGCTGGGACTAGGATTTTTATTTTACCACTGAACACAACAATTTTTGACAAAGACATTTCTTTCTCAAACATTATATACTTGTACAATTTTTAAGATTGTTTAGAGAAAATAATGTGATTTAAAAATCTGTCTGATAAGGGAAGAGCATATTCTGTGCCAAAGAATGTACAGTATACATTCATATACAGTAATTGTGCAAATACAACAAAAATAAACTTGGCACATTTTCCCAATACATTACACTTTGCTAAGTTTTTCAGATAGAATTCAAATGCTCTGGATCAAATATGGAACATTCTATCTAGAGGGAAAATAAACCAAAATGTCAAACAAGAACTTGGATTAAGGAAAGAGATAGCAATTTATATGTGACTCTGAACAGGCCTTCTCTGCTAGGAAAAAAATTATCTTAACCAGCCTTCTCCAATCTCATGCTTTGTAGATATGCAACAGATGAAGGAATTCTGGAATCTGAGTTCCAACACACCTTGGGTATTCCAAGTGGGAATGGTTTTGGGGGTACAGTTTTTAAGCACTCAGTGTATACCACCTTTTTCATATCCATGTTTCCCCCCCCATAACTCTGAGCACCATACAGATAATAAAGCAGACCAAGAAAGGTGCAATGAAATAGTTAACCACTTACTTTGGTTCATACCTGAAATCTTCTACATTATAAAAGATACCTGAGCCTGCAGAAAGCTTTTCAATGCCATTCCTATAAAGGAAATATTTATGTAATTAAGCAAAACAATTTCATTTCTTTGTTATTTACAATGAACACAAAGCATTTATCACATAGATCACAAAACAATATTGGCAGAGTCTTCAACCATATTGTCTCATTTTCCATTAGATACTATTCCTGTTAATCTAATTATTTTCACTACAAGAAGGAACCTGAGGTATCTTTCATGCAAAATAAGCCTTTGATTTCCTTCACATTTTTTATCAAAAAAGGCAAAGGCAGTGCTTTTTCTGCAAAACCATGATGCTGCAAGGGACTCGGTGCATAACAAATTACCTAGGTGTTTGTCAATTCCATGTAAGAAATGCAGCTCAAATATTTATGATCACATACCCCAAAGACAGTGTATGTACAGATGAAAAGTATATGCAGTTGCCTATATAAAACTTGCATGTTACTAATTATGTATATATTGTTTGGAAATTAATCATGATGTTCTGCAATTATGTATCTCATTCTGAACTGAAAACATCCTTCCTTACCATGCAATCATAACACCGTTGTCAGTGCAAAGCTTTGGAGGTGGACATACCAATGTGAAATTAGTAGCATCTGCTACAAGCTGCAGAGTTCTACGGATATATTGGTTACTTGCGACACCCCCTGAAACCACCTGAAAACAAAGTTGAAAGAGGAACTCTCATAACAGTAAATAGCTGCATCTTGTAACTCCATTAGAGCATGTCAATGGAGGAAACATAAAATGTGAGCACGCTCTCCTTGTGATATTTCAGAATTAAATATGATACAGAGAAAAAAGGTAAACTTTTATGTTGTAATGTAAATACTTATTATCACATAGTTGGTAACACAGTTCCCACAACACCTATAGAACCTAAATAAATATACATTTAAAATGCTGAAATCATTTTATGAAGAGTTCAGTGTTGTTGCATGAGACTACTCAAGTTCTTGGAGGGACGCGATTGCTGAATTGCAATGAGATTTGGCAATCATGCAAGAAATTCATTCATTCATTCATTCTTGGGCATGGACAGCCTGGATATCTTTTCTTTACTTGCATCTGGACTATGCTACTTCTTCTAATCCAACTCTGTTAAAGTCTTACAAAATATATTTGGAGATCAAGGCATTAATATTCTTTTTCTAGCTAAAATCTCTGTATTTCCTTTCAACTGTGCAAATGTGACTGATATTCTTTTCCTAAATGAAGGATAATTCTATCAGTCAGCATACATGATTACAGAGAAGACATTTTTTTTACCGAGGAAGAATACTTCTCCTAATGCGTTTATTTATTTTAATAACTGTAGTCTGGAGCTAAATAATGACAAATGCACTAGTTCATCAAACCCCAGATGACTGAAAACACCCTAATCTTCACAAATCAATGTGTATTTCAGTGATGGCGTCTTCAAACAGCTGTACAGCCACATCAGAACTACATTAGCTTCTTGGAGGAGATAAAAAATGGATGAGTTTTTGCTTTAAACTACCATATCCCCTGAAAGTCTCAATACAACAAGGGCAATGCTCCACATTTGTTTTACACTCTAGCCTATGCTGGATCTGTTTAAAGTTCTTTGGATATTAGGTTTTGTTGTTTAAAAACAAATCTTTGTTTTTTCAAAAAGAGAAAACAAAGCCTCTGAAAATAAGAACTTCCTAACAGATAATTTGAATTTATCTCAGTTTTTTTTTTAACATGTGGAAAGGAAGTTATTTCTCAAAAGATACCTCTGGAAGATTTTAAAATCTTTTTTAACCTATCTGGTAACTTGAACATTAGGAGTTTTTCTTTTTTTAAAAAAGATGCTCGATTCCAAAATGAACCTGAAACAGGAATGAAAAACGTCAATCAATATATCTTACACGCAAGGCTATACGTGCTTGTGAACAAGGGATGTAGAGCAGTGTCAACAAGGCTATTATGCCCAGCGTGCAGTTAAGGAATATCTGGCAGCCAAACAGGCAGGCACAGTTCCACTTCAAACTAACTTTTTCTTTTAGATTTTTTATCCCGCCTTTATTATTTTTGTAAATAACTCAAGGTGGTGAGCATACCTCATACTCCTTCCTCCTCCTATTTCCCCCACAACAACAACCCTGTGAGGTGAGTTGGGCTGAGAGAGAGTGACAGGCCCAACGTCACCCAGCCAGCTCCCATGCCTCAGGCAGGACTAGAACTTACCATCTCCTACTTTCTAGCCTGGTGCCTTAACTGTAAGCACAGTATAGTCCTGGAATATTTTACTTCCTTCATTGTAGCAAAGCCTGATATTATTTGGAGTCCGCCCCTTGGCCAGTTCACTATTTCCATGATCAAGAAGCAGTCAGTTTTGGAACCTGAGATAATTAAAGGTGTAACCTTCACACAGAACTTACCAAAATTTCCTTTCCTGGGGGTATGATTCCTTTCTCTCTGCAGAAGAAAATGGCCCTGTGTGTTCGCTCGGCAATGTGGACAGTCATTGTATACAGGACTGCCGCAGCAAGGTCCGAAAGACAGGAGAGATGTTGCCCTTCCTGAAGGCCTGCAGGAATTACCATCACATAGATTTTCAAAGCAGACATGCAGCAAAATACACACACAGTTTGGGACTCTTGGGCAAATACCTTCTGCTTCTTCTTCTTTTGAAATCGTTCTAACAATTTCACTTTGCAGTCCAGCAAAAGAGAAAGTGCAATCACGGTATCGCTGCATGGGGATTCTGAATTTGTATTGCAGAATGTTACCCTGCTGGGCCAAGATTTCTATTGCTCTTCCACCATTCATGCCAGAGCATTCTGGATGCTTATGTAAAGAAAGTCTTCTAGCTACCTTAAGAAAAGTAAAGGGAAAAAAATTAAGTTTACAAGAACTTCATTCTAAGCCTCCTTCCCTCTCCTTCCTGGGCATATGAACCAGAGCAGAGCTTCTATTAGGACTAGAGAATGGAAAGAATACCAAAAGTCATGCGCTGCATGCCTTCCTGAACTTATCAGCCCGGGAGCTGCATTTTGCCTTTGTGTTACAGTCAGGTCCAGAAATATTGGGACATCGACACAATTCTAACATCTTTGGCTCTATACACCACCACAGT